TTTTTTTTTAAAAAGATTTATTTATTTATGCATACAGAGCTGGGGTACAGGCCCAAGAGGCAGGGGTGGTGAGAGGATTCACCAGAGACAGAGTGGGGAGCAGAACAGGCCGACTAAGTACACTTCTGAGGAGAGCAGTGGGCAGGCCAGGAGAGGTCTGCCGCGCCATGTGGGTCACCTTCGGGGCGGGGATCAAACTCATGCAGAAGTGCCTTTAGCTTCTGAGTACTGTGCTTCAACCCAATGCACCACCAGGGAGAGTACGAAAGAGCTTTGTTATGCCTAATATTCTGTGTTAAGGATTCTGAGGCTGTATGTGCAGTCAGGGAAAGCATGAATCCTCGAGGGAAATATATCACTTCCCTTGTGTTACAGAGACATCAAGGCAAAGGGAAGAAGCAGCTGGACGTGAAAACAGAGAAGAGGGCAGGAGCAGGCGGGCCTTGGGGCAGCTTCTTGTGGGAGGGAACTGACAAGCCAGATGGACCTTCCTCTTCAGAGTGGAGACTAGGAAGCTCAAGTGAAGTCAGCTTTGTTAGCTAGAAATTTTTTATATATTAATTTTTTAATTTTTTATTTATTTGTGCATACAGAACTGGGGTACAGGCCAGAGGCTCAGGGGTGGCAAGAGGCTTCACCAGAGACAGAGTGGGGAATAGAACAGGCAGATCGACGAAGTACACTGCTGAGGGGAGCAGCGGGCGGGTCAGGAGAGGTCTGCCGGGTCATGTGGTCACCTCCGGAGCAGGCGGGAATCGAACTCATGCGGAAGTGGCTTTAGCTTCTCAGTGCTGTGCTTCAACCCACTGCGCCACAAGGGAGGGCCAGAAATTTTTCATAGCAAGAAGAAAATGTTTTGAATTACCTGCCCAGACTCTATCTCGTAAAGGTGGCCTTTTATCAGAGAGGAATTGTGTGATGGGAGAAGAGAACCGCTGTCCCCAATCCTGACATGTGGCATTGTGTATCTGACAAGGAAGAACCTACAACAGCCCATCAAATGTCCACCTGCCTTCCTGTGACCACGGCCCCTTTGCAAAGTGTCTCTCAGGGACCCGTGGCCCTGTCTATTCATTCACTCAATGTCTTTACTAGAAGGATGTTCTCTCCACGAGTTTGTTGGATGCATTGAATAATGCTGTTTATGTTAGAGTCGCAGCTCAAATGCAGCAATAAGGAACAGTCCAGAATATTCAAGAAAAAATGCTACCTAGAATCCAAATGAAACATAAACTCTTCTATTTTTCTATCAGAGAATCTGAGTCAAACTTTTGAAGATTTTTTCCCTAATAATTAATGCAATGAGATTTTCAAGCTTACACTCAGGTGCATAAAATACATAGATGTGCTCTACATAAGCTATAATCACGATGATGTTCATTGTCATCTTATGCATTTAGCTGCATGTTGACCTCGTCATGCTTTCGTTTTATGATAAAACAGTATTGATCATTTTAAAATACCTGGCATTTGCTTTGTACAAAACTATTTCTCTTAACCTTCCCTTGATGTAACAATGACAGAGCACATGTGTACCAAAGAACCCGTGTGTAAGTGTTTAGGAGTTAGTGGGGTGGGGGTCGGGGGTAGGTAGGTGGAAAGGCGAAAGCCCTACAGTGTAGAGACATCACTTTCAAGCAGGCAACGAAGCCAAGACCTTGCTTGGAAAGGAGTGCAAATGGAAGGCCGAGCCCACAGCTCGTCACACCTCTCTGCACGTTGAGAGAAATTTTCAATTGTTGTTAGGAAAAATAGCCAAGTTCACATTTCTTGGACTTCATGCACGATGATAAAGCTGCTACTCAGAAGAGCTTCAAAGAGAACAGGGAGGGACATTGATTCTTCTTTCCAAAGACGGATCTATGGCAGCTGTATTTTAGCCAGAAGCTGCCGCTCACCCTGATGAAGACACTGCCGGCCCCCAACAGGGAAGGCGGCTGAAGACCTGGGTCTTTTCTCTTTGGGCAGCCTGACCTTTGACCTCCTTCTGCTGCTCCCAAGCAGAAGCTTTTTAAAGTTTCTCTTCACTTTTGTTCTGGATCACTGCTTCCATTTTCCCGGACTCCAGAGAGGCCAGCCTGTCACCATCTCCAACAGCTCCAGGAAAACGCCTGAAACTTCTCTGGACTGAGAGGATTTATTTTACCACAGGTTTCTCTCTGTGAAGCAACAACATGCCAAAAGCTTTTTTACAGAGGTATTTTATAACCTATTGTTTTACTTGGAAACAATAAAATTTCTTCTAAGAATCCAAAAAAAATAGCTGGTAGGAGGACGCATATAAACAGTCTGTCCTGAGAAAAACAGTTTTCCTAAATCAGAACAAGTTCCTCTGTACTTCTCTCTCTCTCTCACGCACGCACACACGCACACACACACACACATTATATAAATTTATTACTTTTCATCAAAATGTTAGCAGAAACTTCCTAATCAGATGGAATTTTGAAGGTCTATGAATTCAAATTGGAGAAAATATAATCTTTATTTTCATCAATTTCTAGCTGAATTATCTAAATTGATAATTTATTTTCCCTTTAATTATTAAACTTGGTCATCACAAAAAAAACACAAATATTTTCATATTTTTCAAAACTTATCTTTTGCTCATCACAAGCTCAAAGTTCTGGGCATTGTTAGCCCCACTGCTAACTAGGGTCTGACACATGAAGAAGCAGAGATGTTAACACAGCACATATTTGTTTTGTTTTGTTTAATATTTGGATAATTCTCTTCCAATATATTTCTTCTTTAATTTGCACATTCTATTATAGGCATTTTAAAGTGTCATTTTGAGAAAAGTTCAGAAGCTTCTACGGATTGCCAAAAGCACCCCTTTTTTCTTTTTTAAACAAGTTAACAACCCATGGCATTAAAAAAAAAAAAAGCAGCGTGCTCTTGGCTTAAATGGACGTTGATGGGTTTGAAGAGATGGTTTCCCTTCATCCACTGTCTTTAGGTGCTTTCCAGGATTCTCCAATGAACACTGCAGTTTTTATTCAAACTGACAACTTTCATCTTCTTCCCGGTGAACTCCAGAAACAAAATTAAACTTTTGTTTTCTGAGTCTAGAGCGAAAAACAGGCTCCTCAAGCCCAGACCTGAGGCTGTCCTGGCCTCAGCTGGCCACCATGGAGTCAGCACGAGTAAGTGTTCCCGGGCACCGGGGCTGCCTGGGTCAGGCCACGCCGACGCTCTTCCGCAGTCACACCGAGACTCGAGCTCAGCCCTAGAGGAGGGGAACCAGCTCTCTTCCTTTTCCGTGGGCTGATGTCACAGCAACCAAGTCCACCTGCCTGCACCTTCACCCACCGTGAAGCCCATGGGCACCACTCACTGCCCCCCACCTCCCTTTCACAAGCCTAGAATTGTAGTTAGAGAGCAGGTTTGGGTCATGCACAGCACCTGGACACAGGAAAGCTCAGGTTTCTCTGATTGAAATTAAACCTCCTCTGACCTCCCACCTAGGGAAGCTGAGACCAACTCGTCAGTAGGGAATCCCTGTCAGCCTCCCGGGGAGTCTCATTCCAGTTCGGAGCGCCAGTGCTGAGTCTGTGGGACTGTTGGGGTGAATCCACCCTCTTCCTCCTGGTTGATGCCTCCTGGCACCCAGGAAGACCACATGTGCCTGCTCAGGGGCCACTGGTCTTCAGAGAGTGTCCTGCTGGCTTCCACGGCTACAGGTGATACGACCTCTGCTCCGAAGGCCTCCCAACCAAAAGGGCTTCAGGGACCACGGCCCCTGCTGTGTGGCACAGCCCATCATGTCTCTTCTCTGTCTGTGTCTACGGTGGTTTCTGCCACTCAAGGTTAGGTCCAGCAGCCTCACCCCTACCAAGTATCCAACGAAGCTCTTCTTGAAGAGACCAGATTCTCCGAAGTCAAAGACAAGACTGCCAGTTACCTAATGGATACCTGGAAATTTCTCCTTTTTTTACCTGTAACCCAAAGCCCCCAAACTAAGGGAATATAATACCTGGTAACGTTATGGGAATAAAAGCGGAATTCTACAGCTAAAAAAGTCAAACACAAACTAATGTTCCAATCAAATATCCTACACTGAAATTAAGGGCATGTGCTAGAGATGCATTTCTAAGGAAAATAAATCAGTGTAAATGCTAGTACATACTTGTAGAAGCAAAGCTGTTTTATGTGGCAACGATAAATTACATTTTTGGTGTCAGTAGATTTAACATCAGTTAGCACACACACAACGTACTTTACCTTTACCACTCTCAGAGTAGAGATCAAATCAGCAATGGCTCATAAACAAAAGCTATCATGATTTTCAATAAAGCACCCTGTCATTCTGCATAAGCAGGCCATCATACCAAGTGCCAAACAGTTGTTTTCAACCCGGCCCCAACAACAGCCCCATCACGCCACACAAGCTACTCCACAGTTCTCTGCTAGTCAGGCCATGTTGACATTCTACACTGCGTCGCCACTAAAAGAGGGAAAATATTCCAGCTCTTATGGTCATTACTCACTCTTACAAGATTAATTTAACAAAAATGAATACACACCACAGTAATGAATGTAATTCACTGGGAGAGTGGTTTGAGAAAGTTAGCCACACTGGAAAACATTACTCCTTAAATTAATGACAGAACTGAAGATTATTTTCAGATTTGGTCAGCATTTTTGAGACGTAATGATTAGCCAGGGTGGGAAAAATCCAGATTAGTATTAAGTGTTTGCATGTTATAAGACAGAATAAGCTAACCCCAAGGCTGGGACTTATTATTCAGACTCTTTACTAGCCAAAAGGGACACATGAGGTCAGACTGTGCTGTGAAACTTGGAGCATTAATAGAGCTGGTACATTCATGTCTCAGGTACATGGATCTATCACAAAAAAGAGTTAATAATAGTAGCTGACATTCACGGACAGTTTACTATACCAACACACTGAGGAAAGTCCTTTGTATGTACCACTGCACTTATGTCACATAACTACATAATAACAGAACTATTATTATTATTTTTCTTACCTAGCAAATGACTGAGGATATTTAGGAACAGAGAGGCTGAGTACCTTGCCGAAGGTCATCATGAATCTGGGACTTCTCCAGACAATATACCTAAAAGCACATAGCTTTAATTATTATTCAATGCTGTGGTAATGGTGAAAAATACACATACCCACACGTATATACTGCAAAATCTTCCTATAATGTGTAAGTGACAAATCACATTATAGGAATTATCCCATCTACTTCTCACCTACTAATAATGATACCAGCCAACCATTACATCGCCCTGACTATGTTTTGGCCTTTGCGCTCTCACTTCCCATCGATTCACTCATGGGAGAGCTCTTGCTAGCTTGTGAATGGTGTTTGACAGCCACGAGACCCAATTAACCTCATAGGGATAAGCACAGAAAGAAAAGCAGAGAAGCTCAAAGACTAAGCCCTGGAGGATTCCAGCGCTTAGAGACGAGAACATTGAGAGGAGAGAAGATGAGGTGAGGCAATCAAGAAAGTTCAATGTTTTTGTAGAAAGCAGCAAAGAAATAAAGAAGTAGCTTAAGATGAGAAATCAAGAAAGGGTGAAGTTATTTAAGGTATAAGAATTAATAGTGTATTAAGTGGCTTGTATTAATTGGTGAGAACTTCCATGATATAAAATCCCACAGACTAGGAGGCTTAAATTTATCTTTTCGACGCTCTGGAGACTGGAAGTTCAAGATCAAGGTGTAAGTAGGGTTGATTTCTTCGGAGATCTCTCTGACATGTCAGAGGGAACTTTCTCCTGGTGCCTTCATAACCTGTTCATCTCTGTATCCTGATCTTTCTCTTTATCAGGACACCAGGCAGGATGGATTACAACTCACCCAAACGACCTCCTTTTGGAATAATTACATCTTTAAAGAACTTTTTTTTCCCAAACACAGTCACACTCTGACATATCAGAGGTTAGGACTTCATGTGAATTTTGGGGAAACTCAACTCAGCACACAATGAGATGTCAGTGAAACAGGATCCTCCCACACGCAAGGAAAGACAGGATCGGGCAGACAAAGGAAGCAGTAAGCTGAAGGCAGGACATGGACAGTCCAACCATAACAGTAAGAAAGAAGACAAAGACCTTGGTCCAAAGATGGGGGTGGTGGGTGCATGTGGTAAGGAACACAAGGAAGCCCCCTTCCCACAGCTGCCATTTCGTCAGTGAGTCAGACACCAAGGTCATCACCAAAACATGAGAGTAGGAAGATGGTGTCCGAAGGCTGAGAAGAGATCACAGATGTTCGGGGTCATTCTGAATAGTGGGGAAGTGGGTAGACTCGTAGCTGGACATCACCTGCGACAAGTGAGACCAGGCTCTGTTTCCCTCCCACAAACACTTTGCTGCCTAAGTTCAGGCCCAGAGTGGACAAAGAACTCCATTTCATGGTGGATTTTTTAAAAAGTTATAAAGCTGCACGGTTACTATAGCAACAATACAAGCCCAATGCAGGCCTATGAAGATGGTATCAACATAACTACATATGAACATTTCAGACTACGACAAGGAGGCAAATACATCTGTTCCTTTTCTATTTAAATATGTGGGAAAGGGCAAGCACACCCCAATCATCAGCCAACCTGGACAATGTACAACTTAATAAATTAGATAAAGATGTTTGACGTTTCTCTTCTATAGTAAACTAAAGTGGTCATAAAATGCAAAATACTTTATCCCAAAAGCACCACGGTTTTACAGTTTAAGACAAGGAGGAGAGTGGAGTCTTGTTTAATTGTTTTTTCATGACTAAAAGGCTAGTGATAGTGCAGGCTGACTCTGGTAGATTTACAGGGGATGAGGCAGGGGATAAAGGTTGGCCATTTTCTTTTGCTTTTTAAGTGATTCTTACATCATGTTTTGTACGGTTGTCTTGTGTGCACAATTTTAAAGTCTGCAAAATGCCGGAGGGACTGGATCTCACAGGAAGATACTCTAAAGTCAACAGGGGCCACGTGCCATTGGCACATGTGAAATGATACTCTGAAGACCAACCCTGGAAAGGTCGGTCCAGCATGGTCCCGCCCTGGTGGAACAAGAGGTTACAGTGCAGTACTCTGAAGCTGTCTGCAGCCACTGCAGCACAAGTTCAATTCCCACCCAGGGAGCTGACCCCATGGAGTGGCAGACCTCTCCTGTCTCCCATTGGCTCCCCTCAGCTGTGTGTTTCAGTAGATTCCCTGTCCTGCTCCCCACTCTGTCTCTGGGGAATCCTCTCACTCCTTGCAACTCTGGTCTGTACCCCAGCTCTGTGTGCATAAATTAATAAAATCTTAAAAAAAAAATTACAGTCAGAGGATAGCCTTGATGTGTCACTTGGGGTTACCTAGCATAAGTCACAGGAAATGTTCAAATACTAATAAAGAAGAAAACATGTAACAAGTTTCTCAACCTCATAAATATTTTTATTCTATTGACAGTTTATGACAATACATAGATTTCGAGTGCACAGCATTATGCTTTGTGTATTATAATATCCACTGAAAAGTGAGTTTTAATCCAATGCTGTACAATTGATCCCTTTTATCCATTTTATCTACCCCCTCACCCCTTTTACGCTCTGGTCACTACCATTCTGTTGCCAGAATCCAAGAATTCACTTTCGTGTTGTATTATCATTTGCTTTGTTTCTTTATTTTCCACAAGTGAATGAAATCACACAGGACTCCTCTTTCTCCATCTGCCTTGTTTCTTTTTTTTTAATTAATTTATTTATGCATATAGAACTGGGGTACAGGCAAGAAGTGTTGGGGTGGTGAGAGGATTCACCAGATGCAGAGTGGGAAGCAGAACAGGCACACTAACAAAGCCAATGCTGAGGGGAGCAGCAGGCTAAACAGGAGAGATTTGCTGCACCACATAGGTCACCTCCAGAGCAGGGGATCAAACTCATGCTGAAGTGGCTGCAGCCACCTTGCAGTGCTGTGTCCTAACCCACTGTGTCACCAGGGAGGGCCCATCTGCCTTATTTCATTTAATATAAATCACTCAAGGTCTATCTGTGCTGTCACAAGTGGCAAAAATCTCATCTTTTCTTTTCCTGGCTGAACCATATTCCATTGAATGTCTATATCATATCCATCAATGAAAAGCTCAGAAATATTTAAGTCAGATAACTCTTTGTTGGGGAAAGAGGCTGTCCTGTGTCTAGGAAAAAATCTAGCAGCTTCTTTGACTTCCACCCACCACGTCCCAATAGCAAACCACTCCAACTCTCATCATGATCACCAAAAATGCCTCTGATCATTGTCACTTATCCCCTGAGGGAAAAATGCTGCTGACTGAGAATCATTGAAATGAAAAAATACACTCATAGATGACCCCTTGAAATTTTCCTTTTTCAAGGTATTTTGCCAAAACTAATCAATCTTTTCTTTTTACTCTGATGTTTCATAAGCTGTGAAAACCCAAATTTCTCAATATTCACCTAAGTGGAGAAAAGTTTTCTATGTTTAGTCACCAAGAAGCAATAATCCTTGCAGATTGCCTACAGACAATATCAGGAAATCTGTCGGCATTATCCCATAGCAAAACCCATATATTGTATTAAATTTTTATTTATCTCCCCCTTAACATCAGATGTTTATGATCAAGAGAACCCAAACTCTATAGACATAGATTTGAATTGTAGGGCAAGAATTACAAAATTGAACACTTAAATCTGTAGGCTAAATGCTGAATAAAAAACCTTGTACAAATTGTTCCCAAAAAAATAAAAACACAAAATTATTAAGCAGATATTCATTATGCATCGTTCGCTCTTGAGATGATGCTACTGGATGATTGTTAGGTATAGGGGTTTGAAGAGATGATGGCTGATTGACACTTATTTCCTTTTTATGGCCAATTATCCTTTGAATTCACTCACAAATGCTATTAAACAGTCACTAGGAGAATTTACAAAAAGAAATCAGTAGGTTTTTTGGTTCTGGACTCAAATGATCTGGACTTCAACTTCCCTTCATCATAGCTGTTGGAGGCTATATTATCTTACCTCTGCAGTCCCTTTCCATGTTAACGCTTTTATTCTGTTTTAAAAACCCAAGTCACCAGGCCCTCCCTGGTGGCGCAGCAGGTTAAAGCACAGCACTAAGAAGCTTAAGCCACTTCCACATGAGTTCGATCCCTGCCTCCCCCGGAGGAGATCGACATGGTGCAGCAGACCTCCCCTGACCGGCCCGCTGCTCCCCTCAGCAGTGTACTTCGTAGATCTGCCTGTTCTGCTCCCCATTCTGTCCCTGGTGAATCCTTTCACCCTCCGCATCTCTGGCCGGTACCCCAGCTCTGTATGAATAAATAAATAAATCTTAAAAAAAAAAAAAAAAACAAGTTACCAAACAGAAAATACAGGAAATGGTAAGTCTTCAGACCAAGTGTTCCACCGTCATAGACCCGTATCCGGATGCCCCTGGACCATGTAGAATCATTGCATTCTGTCTCACACAAGATGAAAATCTCTCTCTGAAAGAAGTAGCTCACAAGTATTTGTCTCCTATCACAGTACAGATACCATCATATTCTCCATGGTGACAAGGCTCTCTTTGTCACTCTGAGAGAAAAGACAACTTTGTGGAGAAAAAAGGAATCTCAAATCTCTAAATTGTGGAAAGAAGGTGTGAGTAGGGAGAGGAAGCATTTTCCAAAGACCTTCCATTTCCCCCAGAAACTTCATTTGTGTTGTTTTCTTGCTGTTCTTGCTTATGGCACTTACAAGAAATTCATAGGCAACTGCAATTTTGATGGAAAGAGAGAAAAGAATATGTGCCTGATAATCCAGCTGTGCAGAGGAATTGACACACAGAAAATTCTGAAAAGAGAATACCTTCCAATGTGGAAAAAAAAAAAAACAAACTAGAAGACACAAACCCTACTGTTCTCAACAAGGTCTTCAGCAGGTTTTGCCACTCTGGTAGAAAGATTTAGAATGTGACTACCCTAAGCAAAGAACCACAAGTCATTTTTGCCATAATTTTGGTCAAACCCACCAGCTGTTATCTTTCTTTACAATAAAACAATTCAACACAATTAAAGGTTTGTTGCTTCAATTCTTTCTTCTCAAAACAGATAACTGAATAAA